GGCAGATCGACCAACAGGCAGTTGAGAAGTCGTAAGCAGAAGGGGGTGTGAGGAGGGGAGAAAAAAAGAGAAAAGAAGTGATTCTCCTGGTGGATTGCGGAGAGAGTTTTTTTTTCTGAAGAGATCCGAATGGAATTTTAATCAGTAGAGAAAAAAAAAAAGGTACGGCAAGTCTTGGCATCGCTATCGATAGCAACTGATAGTCAATTGTCAATTCTACGTATTCACTATTTACTATTGCACTCGATCTATGAATGATTTAGAATTATGCTAGTCATTAAACCATTGAATCCTGATCATTAATAAACTCGTATTCCAGGACTTCTAGAGTATAGCACTTACGCCTTTCCAACGACCAGCCAGTCCACATCGACGGTTTTGTTTGAATACGACAGAAAAGAACACCAAGGGCACAAAATGTGAAGAAAAGGCATAATAATAAGACATAATGATCATCAAGCATAGCCACCAGCCTTTCCACTCGCCGGCCAGGTTCACAAAAGATCGCGATCCTCCTGCTCATCTATCAATCAACCCTTTCGTCGCCCGAAGGGTCCCTATCATCACACACTGAGTCGACGACAGCCCGTGGGCCTAGAATCATTCCCACAGTCCCCTATCTTATACCGTCAACGTACAATTGATCGGGGAACAGGGCCCGACAGCACCGACGGACCGGGGAGCGTTCTCGTTCTCATTTGAAATCTCGGACCATCAATCATCTCGAGAGGTATAACCGCTCTCAAAGTGACAAGACAAGCCGATCGGCTGGCCTTCGTGCAATTGTCGGATGTAGCGACGCAGACAAGAGACGCAGCACAAGCAAACAAAATGGTTCGTACAGAACGCCTAAAACAGGATCTCTCCGCTGTGTTCAGGCTCGAATCCAAGACACTGGAGTTTGCCCTGGCGCTTCTTGTCGCCCGTTTTCCGCTGCGCATCCTCTTGCTTCTTCAACTCGAACACTTCCTGGAAGGGCGCTCTTTGGACTGTCGTGGGCAATTCGTCTTCCTTGTCAAGGTCCTGCGCCGATCATACATTGTTAGCACGTTAAAGATAAAAGGGAAGGGAAGCAGCCGTTCTAAGCGTATGACATACAATTTCACCCAATAGCAACACATTCTCTCCTCGGACTAGGAAAATACCCCGCGGGATGTCGGCGTACAGGTTGCCCGCATACATTCGTTCGATGGTATCCTGAAGAACAAGGTTCGCTGCCGGCGGGAATCACAATTAGACGAGACGAAACCCGATAGAATCACAGATCCCTACCGAATTGATCCCAACTTCTCAACACGCCAATCAATTTCCTTCCATCGCGCAACACTAGGACGAGTTTCTCTGGGGTACCGGTTAGCCAGGGAGCAAAAGACCAGGCCAATCCAACTTGAGGACAAGGCGATAGACCGAGGCGCGCGAGCGCAGCAAAGAGACCAGAACATACTATCTGTGAGATCTAGCAGCTGAGCCGCAGTGGTGAACATCTGCGGAGGTAATTGCGGCGGGCCATGCGACATCGGGCCCAGCGTGTTGTTATTCTGCCCCTGCTGTTGCTGTTGCTGCTGCGGAGGAAACCCGGGGGGTGCGTTGCCATGTTGAGGACCGGCGGGAGGGTCATTGATCGAAAGGCGCTCCATTTTGATTAGTTTCTATGTCGTGGACTCGAGGGTGGTGATTGCGTAGTCGAGGAGGGGTTGGTGGGCAGATTGCGGCGTCAATTCTAGGACGAGGGGGCTCGGGATCGGAAACTCGGGGGGATCGGATAATATTCAGGGGATAGATAGAGCTAGCGATGCTCTCATTCTGCGAGTATGACGATCGGAAAGCTTGGAATTCACGGGAAGTTGCACTAGAAACAGCAAAAAGCGAGAAATGGTGGTGTGAACAAAGCGATGCTTCGGGATCGGGACTTTGGGGGTGTTTGTCCTGTTTGTCTCCTCGGCCGGGGAATATCAAGTATAGACACGAACATGTCGGATCTTGAACATCATGGTTCCAAGGGATGAACAACAATACTAGATAGATCTACTGCCCTATTTCATTACTACTGACTTGCATTGACACCCCAGTCACCTCTAACGTATGTAATAACCCTCTCGCCCAACATCCATCTGGATACAGACTATGCGGGGAAATGCGATCTATCGAAAACGATGCCTCACCGAAGATTCCCAATGCAGATCTTCGGGAAAACGTGAAGAAGTGCTCAAAAGGAGCCGATTCCCATTCCTGAATACCCTCAATGCCAAGCCCGAGTGCAAGTCAATATCTCGTCTCTGGAGTGCTCTATAAATCAATCCATGTTAGGTGCACTCAAAGCCAACAAGATGTCCATCGTTAACACATGATATCTCAAAGCCATCATGATTCATCAAAAGCCATAGCTGCTAGTAAAGAGCATGCCCCGCCGCCGTCCGCATCAATCTGACCAAATCCCTAGTCTCCCACCACGTTTCCAGAAACAAAGGTGACTAATAAAATCGCCGAAAGAAGAGAAGCAATATGCCATAAGAAATTTTGCAGGTCAATCATCATAGAGAAGACAGAAGACGAGAAAGGAAGAAATCGCTAAAGAAAATGGACATATAAAGAAGCCCGTTCAATATACGAACGGGTAATTGATGATTGACGGATGACAACCCCCCCAACCAGCATCGCTATTCTCCCTGCAAGGCTGCAAGGGGGATCGGATAGTGAACATCGCCATCTTCAATCTCTACGCAACGCTCACCCCCCTCCGCTGGCCCCGCACTCTTTCCTCCCGTCGCCGACTATACGGAGCACAATACGGCTCATCGGACGAACCGATACTCGCGCGAACGGGTTCCTGCGATCGATGATATGCAGGACTCGACGGCGGGGGCGGCATCTGCATGACCTTGAACTGATCCACGCTAATAATCCGCAACCGATAGAGGTACTGCATCAACTCGAAATCCGGACGACTGCCAGCAAGATTCTGGCCCTGGTGATAATGCGCCCCGACCACATGCTCCAGCATAAGATCCCAGCCCTTGTCGGTGGGCGTATCGTTGAACCGTAGCGTCGGGCACAGCGGACAGCGCGCCGTGCGCGGGGGCTCGTGGGTCCGGAAATGGCTATATACGTGAGTCCGCCATTGCTCGGGGTCATCGAACGTGTGATGGCAGTCCAGGATGTGGAAGAGGCAGATGTATATGTGCTGGTGGAGGCGGGCCCGGTGGGCAGGCACCACGAGGGCTCCTGTGCCGTCGTCCTCGAGGATGTCGTGACCTGCGATCCCGGATGCCCATCTCGTGTCTAGGGACAGACTGGTCGATGAGGAGGCTTCCGATGCGTTGTCGCTCGATAGCGACGGGACAATCAGCGAGGGCGGCATGGTTGTTTCTGGCATTACTTTTTTTGTTTGCTTTCTTGAATCCCCGACTACGATAATTTCGCGTACCTTTCTCTCGCGGCCCCCCCGGGTCAAGGTACACCGGGTGTCCCAAACGAATGACAAGAGGAGTTAGAAAGACCTCCGTTCCGCGGGGGACGAGCTAGAAGCACGGAGAAGCAACCTGTCTGCTAATCGATCCGTATAAAGCAAAAAAGTTCCGTACGAATCCTGTGCCCAGATACTTAGCCAGGGAGCGGCGAGTAAGGAGGACAAGCCTGGGGCCATGGGTTTCCTACCAAGTCACTATTTCCCCAATGGCGGGGAAAAGTAGCGCCAAGTTGGAAAACACCAAGGAAAGAAAGGCATCTCATCTCTTTACCTTGATAATGATGATCGTTATTGATCAGAATAAACAAACAGCGTCAGATATACGAATATACAGACACCGTCAGGATGCCCGGCTAAGGCAGGACGAGAGGAAGCATCTGAAGCATCATGGCTTGCTTGAGGAGGAGCTGAGCTGAGCTGAGCTGGAAAGAGGGGAAAGGGGGAAGTTTTGGCGGCCAACAAAGATGGGAAGATGGCCGATTAAATTAAAAGCCCTCCGAGCGAACAAGAACCAGTCGGCCTAAAGGTGAGGCATCTGGGAAGCAAACACTGGTTGTTTCTTTTCGTTTCTTTTCTTAATTTTTTTTTTTTCTTTTAATAATTTCGGGTTTCGAGTAATTCCTGTTCTGTTTGTGTGTTGATTTAGGTAGCCTGCTTCATAAGGTATCTTCTTACCGTACCGTACCATACGGGCGGCATACCGCTTCGAGCCATCCAGTGCTGCCAGATCTTTCAGGCACCCATTTCCCGTCCTCTGATCGGAGACACGGGGATTCTACTTGCCTGGCGATCGAGATAACAAAGCTACCATCTTCGTGCATTCTTCCCTCGAGAGTGACCACACTGTAGATCATTCCGAGTCCGTGACCGTGTCATGCGACCTCGGGAACCGGATTCTCATCCGCGTGAACGACTGACTACACCTGATAGATGTAGATATGCACAGGATCACTGGGCATTCCAACGTCATCTACTCCGTACAAGTCACGAGATACTACTAGGTCCGATATCAGAAATTGATAATCAAAACTCGTCTTTATTTTTGTATAGGCCCGCCTGTCCTGTTAAAGGTCCGAATCTAAAGAAACTATGGGACATGAATAGAATAGAAAGTGTTGGGAGACACGATGCGAATCGTATTATTGAGGCCGCAGCCGTAGAGAGGAGAACAGAGTAAGAAAAGAAAAAGGCTGAATAGCAGGTTCTGATTGAAAACGGTACAGTCAAGAAGGTAAATGTTTCAAGAAGGAACAAGTGATGGGAGAATGTAGTGATATAAATAAAGAAAAAGGCGAAGTGAAGGCAGAGTATGAGTATAGAAGTATGAAAACCAACGAAATCCCATCCGTCTATCGGTAAAGACGCCGCGCAAAAATGTATGAACTTGAAAATAAAACCAATCACCCGACACCAAGGATGCCCATAAACCACACTGTAAATGCACAAGTCTATTCGTTTCGTAGCGCGTATAATTTTGTTGTTTTGGAATCCACTTTTTTTTTACACTGGAAAAAGCTGGAATAGAGGAATCCAACTAGAAGCGATCCGTCAGATCTCCTCCGGACACGGAATTGTTGGTCGACGAGGAAACGGAAGAGAACCCGGTTGGGGCGTTCAGCATGTCCTGAACGGCCACTTTGGGAACCTGGGGCACGGGAAGTTTGCGCTGCGTTCCATCAGGTTTCGACATGATATCGCTGATGCTCGGACCGTTGTGACCCTGACCGGGGCTGTAGTAGTTGGGACCTTCCGGCTGCGGCTCCATAGGAGCCAACGCAGGAGTGTGGTGGAGCGACAGATGGCGAATCGACGGCAAGTGTAGCTCGCTGGTGCCAAGAGGCCTCAACCGCGGAGAATGCGCGGGAGTTGCCAGGGGGGTGTGATCGGGAGTAGGAGAAAGAGAGTCATGAGAGAAAGTAGGCGAAGAGGGGGCAGTCGAGTTGGGAGAGTTGGGTCTCGAGCGTTTAACGCGATGCGAGTAGCCATCGTCTTCCTCGTGCGAATGCGAACGGCTCATGCTGTGCGAGATTGCGTAGGCAGAAAGCGAAGGCAATCGGCCACTGCCGCCGTGATGGCGAGAGCCGAAAATAGGGGTGCGCGGTCCGGCTTGAAAGTTGAACGTCTCGTCGCGCTCGACCTGGGACGCGGCCGTGGCCAGAAGGTTGATGTCCATTCCAGACGAGGCCCGGTCGGTATTGCGAGAGTAAGGTCCCAGATTCGAGCGCATGTGAACGGCATAGTTGGAGAAAGAGTGAGGGGGGGAGATGTCAGGAGAGCCGACCTGCGAAACAGGGGCAGATCGAGTCATGGGTTTACTCGGAGGGGGCATCATTGAGCCCGCATTGGTGACCATGGCATTGTCCTGTCCGGCGGCGGCGGCGGCAGCAGCGGCCAAGTGCTGGGCCTTGTTACTCCGTCGGGAGTTGGGGTTGTTGTGGATTCGCGAGTGGCGAGTGAGCTCGTCGGAACGACTGAAGCGCTTGGTGCAGCCAGGGAACTGGCACGCGTGCGGTTTCTCACCCGTGTGGGTTCGAATGTGTCGGGTCTGATGCTCCAGACGGTGGAAAGCACGATCGCAGAGGGGACACTTGTAGGGTCGGGGGAGATCCTGGCGCACTTCCTCCGTGGCGGGACGAGCGCCCTTCATGAGAGGAGGTAATAGGCTCACAGACGAGGCCATGGCTGGATTGGACTGGGTACTCGAGGGAGTAGAGGGGGCTTTAGAACTGTCTACAGGGGTGGAAGGGGCGGAGACAGTTGTGTTGTTCTGAGGGTTCAGTAGATTAGAAAAATCCACTGAAGCGGCCGGGGGCGGCATGTGAAGCTCCTCCTAAATCAACTCCGTGGGGGTAGGCCAAAGTGGGACAGAGTCGGGAGTTGAAGGAATTGCACGTTCAGAACGAATGCAAGGCCGAGGCGAAGTAGGATTCGTCGCGACAGGGAGCTAAATCGGCAAAGTCGATCAACGCCCTAAGCTTGAATGCTTGGCAGGATGATAGGGTGTCACCGCAGGGATGGTCGGAGACTTCGCAATGAGATCGAAAGCGAGGTTGCGATAGCGGATTGCACGCAAGCTAATGGAGCTGGAAGCGACAAGGGGGTCTTTCCAACGCAGGAAAGGTGTGGGATGTAGTAGGGTGTACAGCAGCCGATGGCGGGAAGAAAGCCGGAATGATAGGTATGGCGAGCCAAGAAGGGCGAAGTTGAACAAAGGAACTTGAGATGGGATGAGAGATGAAATCTGGAGAAGACGATCTGGGGGAGAAGGAGAAATAAGAAAGGAGAGTCGGGAAGAAGTGGAATGAGGAATGGAGGGGAATAAAAGAAACGGAGCTCGGGAGAGGGGAGGAAGAAGAAAGAGTGCTAGGGGAGGGGGGTTTATCGGAATCGGCGAAGAGAAGGGAGGGAAGGAAAAAAGGAAATGGAAAAAAAAAAATTGAAAGAAAAAAAAAAAAAAAAAAAAAAACGAAAATTGAAAAATGAAAATGGAAGGGGGAAAAAAAAACCTAAGTACGATGTGTGGGGAGGAATATCGGGGGGGCAAAAAGAAAAGAGAAAAAAAGAAAAAAGAAAAGAAAGGCAAAGAAAAAGAAAAAAGAACGTGCTCAACTCAGATCGGCTGGAGATTCTCCCAGGCCGATTTTCAGTGGAGAGAAATTCCCTTTCTTTTCTGCCTTGGAACTTCTTTGTACTCTTCTAAGAGGTTGATATGTATCTTTTTATTTTTATCTTCCTAGTGAAGCAAGTCAGAGTGAAATCCTCCTTATTTGCTGCCTACGGAGTACTCTTGGGGGGGAAGGGCTTCGGTCGTTCGTTCTTTTTGGGACACGCAGGGTGTTTACGGAGTACGGCGACACAAGGGTAAAAAAAAAAAGAAAAAAAAAATAGAGCCACTACGGAGCAACTACTGAGTCCTGACTGACCGGGAGGGATAAAAAAGAAAGAAAAAAAAAAAAACGAAAAAGAAATGTGGGGCAGACTAAAATCGATAGGGATTACGGAGTAGAAACTGGAACTGCAGAAGTGGCTGTGTGGTCTGGAGAAGTGCGTGTCCCGTTCGACGTTCTGGTACGATACTCCGGAGTATGGCGTGTGTCAAGGACTCCGGACTGGTAAGTGGTAATAACCATACCTAACGAAGCTCCCGTTCTAAAGCTCCGAACCGGCTATCGCGGATGATCTGGAGAATGCGCCTCGATAGGCGACCAGGCAAACATGGAGAAGTACGACGCCGGATGGATTACGTGATGATGGGTGTTTTTGATTTTGGGGGAAGCCAAAAATGAAAGAAAAGAAAGAAGACGTCCCATCCATGTGACGACGACAGTGTAAAGAATTCCAGGAAAGCGACGAGGGAAAATAAAGGAGGGTGGCCCCGGAGAACGGGGGTTGAATGAATGATGATAACATCTTCGGCAGTGATGATGATGAAATGAGATGATGACGACCCCCTTACCCTTTGTTTGTAATTTGCGGGTTTAATTTATCTTATTTTAGTTTTATTTATTTTTTTGCTTTTCCCCAACATCCAACATAACTCCGGAATTGTCTGGGGCAAGGAGCCGGGGAAAGGCAGATTGTTCGACAGAACATCAAGGACTTCAAAGACCGTCGGTCTCGACCAGTTGATCGACCGGTCATCAGTCGATGGTTGTACACTGCGAGAGCCCAGGACAAGGAACTGGTTATCGAATGAACGAAGACGAGTCCCCCGGTGTGACACGGATTGCGTCGATCATAGGGTGAGTCGACGCAGGGCAAAGCAAAGCAGCGCAGTTGCGACGAAAGTCATACGATGGGCGAGATCCAATACTTCATCATTCATCATCGGTCGAGAATGTCCGATGAGGCTGTTGCCGCAAACCACTGGCTGGCCTGGAGTCCACGAAAATAACCCGGGATGGGACCCAGAGTCTACAATTTTAAGCCTTTGAATAACAGTATGTAGATACTAGAATCAGCCCTGACGGTGAATCAATAATGAGTCACACACTTTTTGTTTCTCGTAGCTCCCGAGATAGTATCAAACAGGCTTTATGAAGATCCAAGGTACTGCATCAACTTCTTCAGAATTCGCTCTTCCTTTGTTCGTGCCGAGGCATCCCGCATCGGGCAATGTTCATGCCGGCAGAACAGAACGGAAAGACATTCCTTTTCCTTCCGGACCCCAGCTCACGATGATTTCAGTCAGTTAGTCTGACTGATGATTGATTCCTGTGGCAACTGGCCAGTCTTAAGGCAGTCAGCTCTAATTAACCGGCCAAGTCAATTTTTACCTTCGATGTGACAAATATCGATCCACTGCTAATAACCGTTACTAAAGGTCCTCAACCGAAGGAACCAAGGACCCTGCCGCCGACAAACCCTGGCGTTGGTGCACCCCCTCCAAGAACGCCCTGCATTGTTTCATCTGGACCAGGCACCTGGAGAGGACAAAGATTATCACTGCAGACTACTCCGAAATGGCCATAATAATCGCAAGCGATGCCAATTCATGGTACGCCGTCGACAGAATTGAATAAATAAAATCAAACAAAATCGTGTTATCAAGGGGGAAAATCAGGAAACGAACTCCGCAAATCCCCAGATCCACATCCCTACTAATGCATTACCCGGAATGATTTACCCCCAGAAAATACATGAGCTCGCTGGTTTTGCGTAATTGTGCTGCATTCCAAAAGACCAGCGAGTAGAGGATCCCCAGTCGAGAATCGTGATAGACCGTGTCTTTTTTTGGTTTTCTATTTTCTTTTTTTTCTTCTTCTTGGGGAAGTCCGGAGTAACTTGATCGAATTCCTGATAAACTCGGGGGGGAGAGGAGGATAACGAAAGATACGGACGGAGATACAGGGCTCGGCAAAGCCCAGCCAGCCAGCCCCAAGGAAATATGTCATATTATTGATTTGTATGGAGGGCCGCCACGAATCCTCATCCAGGGTGACATTTCCCCATATGTTACGTGATGGCACTGCACCTTCGCTTTGCTATTAATATTAGCGGTTAGCTATTAGCTATCAGGTGTCATGGATCGCGGTAATGACGAATCTAGCCGGTTCTGAAGGGAGTTTTAAACTTCCTGGTTGGCCGGCGGTATGCAAGGGTTGAATAGTCGATGGTTATCCCCAGAAGTGAACGCAATTGGGATCACGTATTTTCTAAATATAATAAAAATTGAATGATATTGTGGGACAAATGAAAGAGAGAAAGAGACTAGACTGCGTGTCACGGATTCAGGTAGATGGAAAACATATGCACACTGCCGTCTTGACTGACTTTTTAGTGGTAGATCCCAGATAACCCCGAGAGACCGCGCTGGGTGGGGGAGTCCGTAAAATCCGTAGTCATTGGTGAACAGCCTCGTATAAGCAGGAAGCCCGTCATCGGACGGAGGGGGCTGCTGATAGCAGATTCCTACGATCACGATTTTAATTTGGCCGTGCCTTTTGCCAATGTGCATGGCTCATTTTCCAGGGCCAGGTGTGTAACGGATAGACCGGGGGGAGTGACTCCAGTCCTGTGTCCACCTCCAAACGCCTCTTGAAAAAAAAAAAAGAAACAATAAAAATAAATCAGACTTGGTTGACGTTATCTCATAACATGATAAAACCCCAGGGGGATGGAGGCGTCCCCACTTCGCGGACCGAGTACGTGATATCGTGGCGGCTCGCCCTGCCCTGATAGGATAAATTCACCTGTCCGGTCGCTGCGATCAGCAGATGTCGCATTGTGACCTTGGCCTTTGGGCGGTTAGTAGTTCGCGCGACCCCCCTTCTAGCCCCGTCGGCGTGAATGAGGGCGATGATGGCGTAGGATGAAGGGGTCCCAGGAAAATTGAAGGAGGGGTGGAAACAGGGAAGAGCAGCTAATGAGATCCGCCAGATAAGACATTCAAAAGTACTGTACAGCCTGCCTACTCTGTCCAGAGGTACATGCGGACGCAGCTTTTTGTGTCATTCCATCTTACCCAGTAGGGTAATGATGGCTGAGGGTTGCACTGTGAGCAGTGAACATATGATCACCATCTCTCCAAGTATGCAAAGTAAAAAAAGATTCCAATCCGTATTGTATGGAGTTACTGGCAGCTGGTGCCGGTACCGATTGCCGAGATATCGCCATGACTTCCTCACTAGTCGAACCCCCAAGACTGGAGTTAGCGGGAAAAATGGGGAACACAAGTCTGGAGTTGGCACGCAGGTACCAGTGCCCAAGTACGTAAGCGGTACGACCTGCTTCCCAGAATAAGACCGAGTCTACGCCGTATGAAGTATGTACTGCGCTCTGCCCTGGGGTTTCAGGCTAAAACATGCCCGCTGCCAGCTAGACACACCGTAGTTACCACCGTGGCAGGTCTTCATTAGGCGCCGACGGAGGGCTTTGCTCCTGACTAAAGTGCAGGGGGTCAGTGATCAGTTGTCAGTTGTCACGATTAACTGTGATAATTACTTGAAGTAACAAGATTCCTGCGAGCACGCATCGTCAGGGCAAATCCTGTCACGCCCCCCCTAGAGGGACGGAAGAATCCAACCCGAGGGGATCGACTCACCTATTGGCATTAGTTATAACATTAGACATAACACAATCCTAATAGTCATAGGAATCGTCCCGGAATACTCATTATCAAATGCCTTGAGAAAAATTTCTCTCATCTTACTTCTATTACGTGAAGAGCGGGATTTCTTTTGCGGCATTAACCGTTGCCAACATTGATGGACTGTAGATGGTTAGAAGAGGATTGGACTCATGATGGGCATCGCTGGTATCTATTTTTGATTTCATTTTTTTTTCTTCTTCCTGGTCAATTCTAGTCCCTTCATCTTG